GAGATATCACCTGCGATCTTGGGAGCTCCAGATCGCACACCGTACCGCCGCGACGCCAGCTCCGCCTCTCCCGAGTCTATAGTACTTTTGATCAAATCCAAATTAGTATCCATCTTTAGGTCAACAGATTGTACAAGTGATTCTTTTATCGAGTCCACTTTGTTGTTGACAGTAGTTAAGAGATCAAATATTGAAAGCACTGTTTGCGCCGTCAGAAGGCATTGCCTAGATATAAAATCGGTAAAGTTTTTGTGTTGCAATTCCTCTCCCCCATGTTGCATCAATCCCTCAGCAGCAGAGCAAATAACTGCCGATCAAAGAGGAGAAGACTTCCCAGTGATAGAAGCAGAGATGTCCAAAAGTTGTGAACTTTCTACCTCTGCTTGTAAGTCCCATTCCAAGGGGTCAAATCTGTTAGAAGGTATGGGGATGGGGATAAGAATTTGTTACTTACAGCTGTTGGCTGATTGTTTTTCAGGAAGTCATCCATTTTGAGTTGATTAGTAGAGTTACATGGTGTGTTCGAAGCAGAGTGGGAGCGCTGCCTTTTAGATTCCTTGTGTGGAAGATGTTCTTCTGTCTTTGATTGCTTGGCTGACTTTAGAGTGGAAAAAGATCCCGGTCTTTTCTTTCTTTTCCCATGTTGTTTTCCTTGGCTGATTTTCAAAGTAATGAATAATGCTCTCTCTTCATCTTCATCGGCAGGTGTCCGACTATCTGTTGTAGATATTTTTCATGCCCTTCTTAACTGCAATATTGTAATTGTAGGAAACATAAGAAATACTCTGGAAAAAATACTGTGTGGCATTTTTTAAATCCAATATTACTGTTGGAACTGACAGTGATATTAAATTATGTTAATTCATCTTATGTAGTACAAGCCTAGATGCATACTGTAAATCTTTTAAATACAAGAAGGTTTTCCATGTGTTATTCAGGTACAAAGCTTAATAATTAACTATTTTATTTTTCATCCCTGACTGAACAAAATTAGCAGAGGGTGACAACAAAAACAAATATTTACTGCAGCAAAAGACACATTAATTAATTTTGTCTATTGAATAAAAATGTGCTGTTAGAGTAAATTATATTAAGGTAGATTATAATTCTTTTGCATCAGGTCATAGGAGAATGAAAAGAGTCATATACATGGTTCTAGTGTTGCTGCTCAGGATTAAGTGGGAGTCTAGAACTGAAAAAATAATGTCTAATGTTAATTTAACAATCACCATCATAAGAAAGTTATTCTTAAATATTAGAAATAGTATTATATTACCCAGCCAATGCAATATATAACTTCAACTATATAACTTTTCAGTTATGGGCAGTTTTATCAACAGTAAGGGCAGCATTAGAAATGCATAATGAATTAGCATCTATAGGCACTTTACAAATTTCCCATTATGGGTTTTAGTTTCATTTTTGAAGTATCTCATTATTAAAAATATAATGTTGTGACTCTTTATAAAACACAAAGAGGGTTTTTTAGAAGAAAGTAGTATGTTATGAGGCATATGGTCATAGTATTTTAGCTGCATGCAATTAATATTAATCCATAATTTATAGCAGTTTATAGCATTAAGTTAATGTTCCCCAAACTGAAAACTGTGGGCAAAAACTAAAGCTTACAAAATGAAATTATGAGATGACAGGTATAAAAATGATTTACCTCTTTTCTAAATTTACTTTCTAGTTTTCAAGGTTCTTCTATCATTAGTTTTACTCAACCAGATCAGTCTTTATGAGTATGAATTTAGATGTATCTCAAGGCCATCAGAATTCTTTTTAAAAAATCATCAAGCTGTGGGTCATGTTGTAAATATCATACATAATTTGGTTGTGTCATAAGTGTCTATATAATTAAATTAACATACGTGGATTTTATTTTTTTTTCCCCAGTCCTTCGAATAATAATTATTCTCTAGATGGATGAGATAGAAAGAATTAAAAATACTAGAATCCAGAAGAAAAACATTTCAGTAACATATAGCATAGGAAATAGGACATAAAATGTATTCTGGTTTTCTTGTGATAATCCCGGTTTTCTTGTGATAATCCTGGCTTTTAAGTGCATCATTATAATGTGTCAAGTTTTGGAAAAAAATATTAGCTCTGATTAAATATATCCTGTAAAATATTATTGCAATTTGATTTAGTCATGAGAGAAGGGTCAAGTGAATTCATACAGAATGTCAAACAACTATAGATCTCAGATGATACATAGTATGTGCAATAACACATGAACACACATCAGATAGTCTTACTACATCAGTATTGCTTATGACATCACTCTTCTAGAGCCATCTGAACATAGCACCCAATATTTTTATGAAGGAAACATAAGAGTCCTATATTCATTCATTTCCAAGCAAATGCCATATCCTTGCAGTCATTAGATGGATTTGGGAGAATGGATGTCTCTACTATTTGATGCATACCCCTTATCTCATTATTGTTGTTTGCATTTTAAATGTTGCCTGAAAAGGATTTGTGTCTTTAAAAGTCACTTTGAGCTAATGAACAGCAAATGAATTCAGGTACATGGTAAATTAGAAATAAAGTTAAGAAAGTGGGGTTTTTTTCCAGTTCTAATGAGAATCTTATTGTGCTAAGGAATTATTAAATATGTTCTACTTTGTATTATAGTGCTGGACCCAAGGGAGACAACATTTATGAATGGAGATCAACTATACTTGGGCCTCCAGGTTCTGTATATGAGGGAGGAGTTTTTTTCCTTGATATCACCTTCTCTCCAGACTATCCATTTAAACCACCTAAGGTAAGGAGGAAAAGTAAAATTAACATGGCTGTCTAATCTGGTCATGCCTCATTCCATAGAAATCAGTGGGATTTAAGTTACTTATAAATAACTTGTCCCATAAATTTCAGTTAGACTAAAGCATTAGTCATTTAATATGAGTCCCACACTTATTTTCACCAATACATCTGACTGAAGCTATAATCAATATTAATGTGAACAAACTGAAACTTCTGTATTAATCACTAGAGTCACTATGTGAGATGGGCGGCTATACAAATGTGTTTAAATAAATCATTAAAACTACCACTCACAACTTTACTAGTGCAGTCACAATCATGATATCCTAGTGAGGCAACTTAAAGAATTTCAGTTACATCAAAATCCAGATGTTAAAGAAATTTAAATGGAGGATTCCTGCCTTTATTTTTTGTTTTGAGTAGAATTTGCTGTTTTGTTTTTGAATCTATATTACAATCACAGACCAACACAACACATAAAATATACAAATGACAAATAAAAACGACATGTGATTAATTTCACTTGATTATTTTAGTTGGCAATCTTAATATTCAGCAATAATAGAACACTGTACATTATGAGTGTCAGTTGGCTTGATTGTTTTAGTGATTTTAGTCCATTTGTAGACATTGTAAGAGGAGAACCATGTTAGTCTACAGTAGCAAAAAATTAGAAGGAGTCCAGTAGCACCTTTTCCAACTAATAGATTTCATTAAAAGGCATAAGCTTTCATGAGCTGCAGCTCACCTCATCAGATGCATAGAGTAGTTAGACTGATAACAGGATTTAGATTGGAAGAGGGTGGGGAGAAGGGAGGGGAAGACAGATTGACTATGCAGATACAGGTTACATGAGAGATATCAAGTAGCTTATCTATTAACAACTGTAATGTGATAAAAGCTCATTGTGTTTGTTGAGACTTTTTGAGATAGCCTGAAACTTTTGGATATATGTGAGTTCATCAGTCTCCCATTCAGAGGTGCTGTTGAAGTCTTGTTTTTCCAAATGGTCACTTTGAGATCTACAACAGAGTGTCCTGAAAGTTGAAATAGTCTGATATTACCTTGTCCTTGTATTCAGTCCTGATATCATATTTGTGTCCATTAATTGTTTTGCAAAGTTTGTCCCATTTGTCCTACATAGAATGCAGAGGGGCATTACTGGCTGATTATTACATATATCACATTAAAAGAAGAGCATGTTAAGGTACTTCTAATCTTGCATCTGTACTTATTAGAGCCTGTGGTAGTGCTGTTGGTATAGAGTGGGGGCAAAGTAGACATCTTGGCTTGTTGCAGGGTCTAGTTCCCATGTTAGCATCATTGATCTGTTGTTTCTTGTGCGAATCTGTTTCAGGTTAGGCGGTTGTCTGTATGAAAGCATGGACTTGCCACACAGTGCCTGAGAAAGTGCAGTCTCATTGTCCATTATGGGTTATAGCTTATTAATAATGCATTTCAGTGTTTTGAGCTGTAGGTAACAACTAGTGGTGTTCTGTTCTGCTTTTTGTGGCCTATCTTTTGAGAGGTCCTCCCTGTGAATTGATCTGGCTCTATTATTATCTACTGATTAACAGTGGCACTTAAATGTTTGTGAACCCTTTTGAATTTTCAATATTTCTGCATAAATATGACCTAAAATATGATCTAGTCTCCACACAAGTCCTAAAATTAGATAAAGAGAACCCAATTAAACAAATAAGTCAAAAACATATTTTATCATTATCATTTGTTTATTGAGGAAAACTATCCAAAGCTACAGATTTGTTTATGGCAAAATTATGTGAACCTCTAGGATTATCAGTTCATTTGAAGGGGGAAATTAGAGTCAGGTGTTTCAATCAGTGGGATGATAATCAGGGGTGAGTATAGGAGATACTGCCTTATTTAAAGAACAGAATTCTAGGTATTCACTATCAAATCTGATCTTCACAACACAGTGTAATATTCCAGGAAGTATAAGAGAATCCCCAAGATAACATCTAAGGAACTAAAGGCCTCGCTTGCATTGGCAAATGTCAGTTTTCATGAAACCACCCTCAGGAGAATACTGAACAACAATGGTGTGCATGACAGGGTTGCAAGGAGAAAGCCACTACTCTCCAAAAAGAGCATTGCTTACTGTCTACAGTTTGTGAAAGACCACATGGATAAGCCAGAAGGCTATTGGAAGAAAGTTCTGTGGACAGATGAGACCAAAATAGGACATTTTGACTTGAATGAAAAGCATTATGTTAGGCGAAAGCATAAGAACCTTATTCCATTTATAAGCATAAGAACCTTATTCCACTTCATTCCAGCATAAGAACCTTAATCCATCTATAAAACATAGTGGTGACAGTATCATGGTTTGGGCCTGATTTTCTGGCTCTGGACCAGGACCGCTTGCCATCATTGATGGAACTATGAATTCTGAATTGTACCAGCAAATTCTATAGGAAAATGTCAGGGTACCTGTTTGTGAACTGAAGCTCAAGAGAAAGTAGGTCATGCAGCAAGACAGTGACCCAAAACACACAAGTGGTACGACCAAAGAATAGTTAAAGCAGAAGAAAGTTGATGTTTTGGAATGGCCAAGTCAAAGTACAGATCTTAATCCTATAGAAATGTTGTGGAAGGACTTGAAGCGGGCAGTTCATGCGAGGAAGCCCACAAACTTCCCTGATTTGAAGCTGTTCTGTAAGGAGGAATGGGCTCAAATTCCTCCAATATGCAGGACTGATCAACAGTTATCGGAAACATTTAATTGCACTTATTGTTGCCCAAGGGGGCACACCAGTTACTGAAAGCAAAGGTTCACATACTTTTGCCACTCACAAAACTGCCACTTTGGATCATTTTCCTCAATAAATCAATGAATAAGCATAATGGTTTTGACTCATTTGTTTAATTGGGTTCTCTTTATCTAGTTTAGGACTTGTATGGAGAACAGATCACATTTTAGGTCATATTTATGCAGAAATATTGAAAGTTTAAAAGCGTTCACAGACTTTTAAGCAACACTATAATTATCTGGGTAGTTTAGCCCCTAATGCCTGGTTTATTTCCATCAGTTGAAGATCTCTATCAAGAGGGTCAGAACAAATGTGGTTGTAGCATAGAGCTTGGCTATAGATGATAGATTTGGTGCTGTGTTGTGGATGGAAGCTGGCAGCATGTAAGTATGCATGGCAATATGTAGATTTCCTCTGTAATGTGATTTTATATGTCCATTGCGTAACTTTGCTGTGACATCAAGGAAGTGGACTTGTCTGTAGATAGGTCAAGGCTGAGGTTTGCGGTGGAGTGGAAGTTGCTGAAGTCATGGTGAGAGATTCATTTCCATGATGGAAATATTCAGATGATGAAAGTGTCATCAATGAATCTCAAGTAAAGGAGGAGCTTCAAGGGATAAGAGCTGGTCATCCATAAAAATGTTGGCACTCTGCCACTGATTTGCAGGTATCTTTGGCAATAACATGTACCTGCAAATCAATAGTGCAACTATGGGTACACATACAGCTTCTCAATATGCCAACATATTGGGATCTTTTTAGGGTTATAAATCTGATGAAGTTTCTTACTCTCTACATAAGCAGTGGAACAGCCAGCCTCCTGAAGTTGTGGACGCTCCATCACTGGACATTGTCAAGAAAAGAGTGTTGGGGATGTTAAGAGGATACCTGCACTGGGCAGGTGTTGGACTAAAAAACTAGAAAAACACTTCCAACCCTATGATTATATGGTGGGTAAACATTAAAAAATCATTTTGCTGGAGATTTTTCTAATTCTGCTGGACATGGCCATTCACTACCAGCATTGCCATTAGCTTGCTGTAGTGGCCAAGGACAGAGCTCACATACAATTTATCATTTTTTTCCTGCTTCACCTTGTGGCCCTCCTAGAGTAACTTCACACCTGTGACATCTTAGTTGGCAGTTTGACAGGTGGCTAAACCATACATTCTAAGCACCTGTCTGCACTCACTCATCCCTAACCTAGGATATATGAAAGAGAGCGATTGGTTATTGTTTTCCTTGGCAGCCAGTAATACTCAGTAGCAAAAGAAACAAAGCCAGAGGAATCCACCAATTGTTTTCCTTAACTCCCCACCCCCATTAAAACAGTACTAATTACTGAGGCTGAATATGCATTGGCAAAGAACAACTTATTCATTTGTTTGTTTTCTTGCTTGTTTACATGGATTATTCTACGTACGTCTGTAGTATATACTGCTGGTTCATGCACTGGAAAAAAGCATTTCAGTGTGAACGTCCCACTATGCTTTAAATTGTAGTAGAATGACTGATGTCCATAACTGGTATTGTCTTAAAGCTTAAGAACTATCATAGAGGAGCTCATTACACAATTATCTTACTTTTTTTTTTATTTCTAAATGCTGTCACTCTCATATCTGTGATTTTTATGTCAATTGCCTTCACTCATCGTTATAAATAACGGTAATGCTTATATACTTAAGGTTCCCATATGCCCAGTAATAAAACAGGAAAATATTCAGTGTACTCTTCAAGAGCCAGTATAGAAAGATGGCTATAGTCCATTTTATTCAAACCCATATTGACAGTAGAAACCACTTGGAAAAAGAGTGGTATATTTAATCAATTGAACTGTGTTCTTGTGCTTGACTTGAGCAGCAGTTAGAGCTATTATACAGTTTAAACATCTCTTCCAAGGGTAAGGAAATGAAACATTCCTTTTTCCTGATACTTCCTTTTCAGGCCATGATAGCCTAATTTTGTTCAAACCCTGCACTGCATAAGCTGTTTCTTCATGTACTGGTTAACTAGATGGTGTTCAGAATCAATGATACAGACTTTTCTGTTCACATTGCTATCTTGTGCAATATTATGATGGGCCATCTACATTTGTAACTGAATATTGTAAATACATAATAAGCTTGAAGCCAAAAGATACATATATTGATATAGAGAGATTTGAATGTTTCAAGTTACTTAAAATAAGTGTAAAGTAGGATATAAATATTGTAAAGATTTAACAAGGAAGTAAAGTTGAAAAACTTACATTTATCGAATAAGGACACAGTTGAATTGGTTAAGCACTCATTAGCCAGAATTAACCTGTAAAATTTTTTTTACAGGTTAATTCTGTACACCATAAAATCAAAAATGTAAGATTTTAAATACGTAGCCATGTTAAAACATTACACCACATGTAAACATTCAGCATCTTGAAAGTGGGACAGGCTCATTGTTAGAACTACAGTATCACTCAGCATAGAAGAATGGCCAGGGGAAAGGTCATCCAAGTCAGAACCTCAAAACTTGCCATTTCTACATAAGTGCAAAATACTTCAAATAGCCCGGCCTTATACAGTAGAAAAAGTGGAGCAACGCAGGTGAAAGCTGGCAAATCCTATTGAAAGACTTAGAGTTTCTTTCCCTTACTCTTAATCATATTTCTGTGATTAATATAAATTTACCTCAGTACAATGTTAAATAGCTGACACCTTTATTTCCAATTTTCAGTCACAAATCTTTTAAAGTTAAATATTCTTCAGCTGAATTATGCTAGTAAATATGATTCCATGGGTCACATTCAGGCTTGAAATAATTTGAAGTATAAAGTTTGTTCTTAAACAAATAAGCCATGTTTCATTCTGGAAACTTTTGGGGTTTTTTCCCAAGCTAGAAAACAAATTAAACTTTTTTCCCCCCAAAACTCAAGGGCCTTATATGCTGAGAACCAGCAGTATACCTGTGCTGTTTTTAAAATTCATTGTGTTAAATTCCATTTTGAAATCTCTGTGGGCTCAGTTTATGAAGATAACACTATATAACATTTAATGGGAAATTGTAAATATCTCTTCGCATTTAGAATATGTAGTACTTTTTGCTATGAACCTAGTGGTTTAATTAGCCCTATTCATTCATTTATTCATTCATTCATTCATTTTGTGGAAACCAACTATAACTTCAAGTTCCCTTTCTACAGAACACAGAGGACTCTCTCATTACGATTTCTAAAAACTGACAGGACCATTTCTCACTATTCTGAGGTGGCAAGTATTATGAAAACTGTGGTGTTAATCTAAAAAATTGGAATATCACTGTTTAAGAATTGAAAATTCTTTCTTTTTTGACATGTTTTATAAGCCATAATAAAAGTCGTCTTGATTTTCTCATCTCAGATAAGGAACCATTTATCAAGCATAATGTCTCCAGATTTGTGTGGCAGCTATTAACATTTATAGACAGATAACTAAGGATACTGGGCATGGCAAAGTAACTCACTGAGAATCCCACTTTTCCATCTTTATTTGTATATATTTTTAATTACTACTACAATCATTGATGGTCTGCAGTAATTCCTTTCAGATTTTATCTTGTTATGCCTTAATCCTTCCTCCCCCACATTGATTGAATACTTCTGATTTTATGGAAGCACACAGTTAACTCTGATTTTCTGGGAGATTATGATTTATATTTTTTTAAACATACTAATATTTTGGGATTCTTAATTTAGCTCTTAACACACAAGTAATTCTATTTTATTAATATGCTATTGTTAATATATTTTCTTTTACTATTTTATTCTCTTTTTAGTTTCTTAAGGACTGCACTTAAACTCTTTGCACCTTCGCATATCTATTTTACTTTTCCGTTTGGTTCTTAATTTCCTTTTGGAATTTTACAATTTTAGATTTGTATAAAATATTGGTCAATGACCAGAATAAATTTGAACTGAACTTAAAATTGCCCCCAAATCCAACCCATATAATAAGTGCATCTATTATGTCACCTTCAGCCCTCCCTCAGATTTTTGAGTACCTTGGCCACCAAAAACATTGCCTACCCTGTTTTATCACTGACCATCCTAAATTATTTTATTCAAACTGTAATTTTATAATGTTATTTGTAAGTTATCTCCCATATTTTATAATAAGGATTAACACATTATTGTGGCGTGTTTATAAGTCAATTAGATAAACCTCCTAGGGTTTCTGTCCTATTATTCCTCTACTTTTCTGTATTCTCATCCAGCACTTAGTTTATTTTGTCTTTATTTAATTGCATTGACTTGCCTCCCTTTTTTTCTCTGTGTATGTGTCACTTTAGCAAACCTTTGACCTTCATTTTTTTACTCACATTGGTGTGTGTGTGTGTGTGCGCGCGCATGTATCCATCCATCCATCCATCCATCCATCCATCCATCCACTGCTACGTTTTCAGTAGTCAACCCTTGATAAATCTTGGTGTTTCCTCCAGGCTATCTAATGCTGCCTTAATTTGTGTGGGTGATATTTTTTGGATATTTAAGCAACATTGCTCACAGCCTGAAGATTGAAAATAAGAGTAATACAGCCCTCTTTTTTCCAGGTCACATTTCGGACAAGAATTTATCACTGTAATATTAACAGCCAAGGAGTGATTTGCTTGGACATTTTAAAAGACAACTGGAGCCCAGCATTAACTATATCTAAAGTCCTTCTCTCCATCTGTTCACTTCTTACAGACTGCAATCCTGGTAAGACAAAAAGAATTTACAAAATATATTGGAATCAAGATTTATGTTGGCTGTAGGATTATTTTTGTTCATAACTTTTTAAAAAGTGACAGTAAACCTCTCTCTGCACTAATTGACCTCAAGAATTACCATATTAGGATAATTCCTGGTATTTTAAGCTGCATGAGTTACAGAATTTGTTGCATTCCACTATTTAACATCCAAAAATATACTGTTTCATAAATTGCCAGCAGTAATGTAGTTCAGTGATGATAAAATAGATTTAAATCACCAGTTATGTTTGAACAAGCATGTATGTTGCTTCATAAAGTGTCTAGATAATTATAATATTGTATTCAGTTTTTATTTCCTTCTAAGTTTGTTTATGATCATCTGTAATGGAGGATAGTACTTCACATATCTAATGAATTTGATTCATCAAAGTTTATGCCATAAAATATCTACTTGGTAAATTGGGTTTGTTAAAACACAGGAATGGATGAGGGAGAATGCAGCCATTGAGATTCAGATATAGCTATTTAATCAATGTTACTAATGCATAAAATTTAGTATACAAGATAGTAGCAGATTTTATTACCAAGAGCATGATGATTGATTGATTGATTGATTGATTGATTGATATAAAACAACTTATTTTTTCTACCATAAAAAGTAATAGTTTTTTTTAAAAAAATAAATATGCATTATTTCTGTGAGATTTACTTATTTAGTTATTACATTTAGAATATGCATTTTTCAAATAGGTCAAGGGTAAACATCCATGGCAGGACTCTCCTCATTTTATCCCCACAATTCTTTGAAGTACATTGGACTGATACAGTGATTGGTCCAAAGTCATCCTATAGCGTAAAGACAACTTGAATCTGAGACTCTCCAGTTCCAGTTCATTACTTTAACCATTACACTAAACTGGCCATATTGTGCACCAGTGTCCAAATAATACATTATAGCAAATCATATTTTGAAATTGGATTAGTAAAATTGCTAATTGGGCAAGCCAGTACTTATTCTGGTTAACAGTCACATTTTACAGGCTGCAGTGTGTGCAATATGCAATTACAGTGTGCCACAAATTAAGAAATAACTAATTAAGCATAAGGTTAGACTGAAAAATTAATGACACAAGTCTAAAGAATGTGTCTTTAGTTGGCTAGATCTTTCAATCTTGTATTTATGTTTCAACCACTCAGAAGACAGAACAAATCTAGATTTCTTTGGCTACACAGGCACAAGTTCATCATTTGTATACCTTTCTGTTCAGCTTTCTTTTAATTGCTTTCTCTTGCTTGGGTCATTTTTTGCTTGGAATTCTTATGGTAGTACAGTATTTCTTTTTAAAACCAAAAGTGGATTCATAGGAGTTTCTGTGGAGCAATACATGTTGTCATTTTTTTTTTCTGACAGTGTTATCTCATGAATTTAGACCCAATTCTTTTAGACCCAGAAGAAGAAATTGTCTGCTAGTCATGCTTTGTAATCTGTTTTTGATCATGGTGAAGAAAGCTGTCTACCTTTCTGTGAATGAAATGCTTTTGAAAATACCCCAGGCACATCTGAAAAATCACATACACACCTTGGTTCACTATCAGCTGGATGCAATTTTCAGTACATTCCATCATCACTTCTTCTTAGCCTACTGCAGCCCATTTTGAAGACAGAAATCTGGCAGGGATCCTAAGCCATTTTTATTGCATATTCATCACCCATTTAATGGGGAAAAGCAGATCAGGTCAGATTGAAAGGGAGCTGTGAGTTCTTCCATGAAAAAACAAATGCACACTAGGTTTTCCCTTTGAAGGGAAAAGGAAAAATGAAGTATTACTACCTGGTAGACTTAAATTTATACAATTTTTCATTAGAATAAAACAAATTGTAATAAGGATGGCAGCTAATTAACTTCCAGTCATACATAATAATTAATCTGAGTTTGATGCACAGCTGCAGCTTCACTGGTAAGCAATGCTTTTCTTTACAAACAAGACAAATGAAAAGAGGTATTTGCTCCTCTGACATGTGTATAGTAATCTACAAAACGTATTAAAAAGAAAGATACTTACATCATTGGCCTTTGCTTCTGATCACCGAAGATAGGTACATATCCCATTTTAAACAACTGGTGTGAGATTTGACTTCTAAATAGTTCTTGTATTTCCTCTTCTCTTACTTTTGTGCTTTGTGTTTCAGGCAGTAAATTGCATTAAGACTATCTGAATTGTGTTAACTGGATGACTTTATAGCTATGATGGGAAAGGAAAATATGTACACACTAATGCACGGTATTGCAGGGAAGGGATTTAATGAAACAATTGAGATACAAATGGAGGAATAAAATTCCAAAGTCATTGAGAATTGAGCAGCATACAAGTTTAATAAATTATTATTATGACAGCATTAATGCTGCAGTATTTTTTATTTATTTAGAAGTTATACCTGTTATGCAAGCTACTGGGCGGCTAGCATTCACTGGGATTTCAGCCTTAAAATTTCACACTGTAGAAAATTTTTAAAATGGAAAGTACATTATTTTCAAAAAATAAAAACTAAATTCCAATTAAGACAATTTAAGAGATGTAAGGCATATTTTCAGACCTAATGATAAGTTAGAATGGTTGAGATCTCCAGCTAATTATTCATTAACATCAAAATAGTGAAGGCAGTTCGATAAACTGCACTTGATTTCTTTACCAGCAAAAGCACTAATCTAACTAGACATAATGTGGAACTAAAAGTTTCTTTTACAACTGGATCTGAACTCATAGAATTTTGCTCTAGTAAGTGAATCTGAGTTCTGGAGATGAAGTTGTTTTTGCATTTCTATGTTGTTAAAATAACAACAGCCTATAATCCAGGCAGGTTAGTTGAGCTAAAGAAGAAGAAGGTCAGTTAGTTTCCACGATATGATCTTGAGCATACCAGCCATTTTCAAGAAGAATATCAGGAATCGCTTTGAAGTCCTGAAAAGTTAAGGAGCACAGTGAAAAAAAATGAAGATAAAATTAAATATAAAGAAGACCAAACATCAGGTAGAACAACCAGCCTTAGATCTGGCAATGAATTTATTGAAGTGATGAATAGCTTCTGCCTTTTAGGATCAACCATCATCAGTACATGAAAAAACAATCAAGAAATATGCCACAGACTACCACTTGGTAGAGCAGCCATGAAGGCCTTTAGAGATATTCAAATGCCATGAGGTCTCTATACCTACAAAGATCAAAATTCCCCAAGCCGTGGTATTACTTGTGTCACTCTATGGAAGCTAAAGTTGGATTTTGAAGAAACAGGATAGGAAGAGTATTGATGCTTTTGAACTTTGGTGTTGCAGAAGATTCTGAGAATACCATGGACAGCCAAGAAAACAAACAAATGGATCATCAAACAAATCAACCCAGAGTTCTCATTCAAGGCACAAATTACCAGGCACAAACTATCCAATTTCAGAAACATTATGTAAAGACCTAGCTCGCTGGGAAAGGTGGAAGGAAAGAGAAGATGACAAGCAGCAAGGTAGACAGATTCAGCTACAGTGGTGATAAGTGCACCATTAAAAAACCTGAAAGACCAGGTTAGGGGCAGATCATAGTGGAAAAAAATCTATATGGCTATGAGTCAACAATGATTTGATGTCACATAATCAATCAATAGTCCAGGTTCATATGTAATCTTTGTTAACTTCTGTTTAACAGCTCCAGCTGGTGTGAGGAGCCAAATGAGAGAGACTAATATATATAACCACATTGTTTATGAATAATAAACTTCAGTTGTAATTATATATTAAGTTATGTAGCCATTTTCTTGAAACATTTGATGTGAACATGAGCTGAAATATCTAGTGTTTAAGTAGCAACAAAGACAAGCAAACAGTGATTGCTAGTTGTTTTTTTTTTAATCCATTCAATCGTGTCCAATTCTCAGAGACTGCCTGGACAAGTTCCTGCAGTTTTCTTAGCAAGGTTTTTCAGAAGTGGTTTGCCATTGCCTTCTTCCTAGGGATGAGAGAAAGTGACTGGCCCAAGGTCACCCCGGTGGCTTTGTGCCTAAGCGGGACTAGAACTCAAGGTCTTCTGGTTTCTAGCCTGAGGCCTTAACCACTACACCAAACTGACTCTCGTTACATAATTAGGGATGAGTTAAACATTTATGCCTCATTGCCTTTAAATGACTTAAATGGCAAGTATACTTCAACATTTCTTATTCTACAAAGACCAGTTTCTTTCTCAGTTTTGCACATTCTGAGAGAACACAGACAGTGATGCTGCATGTATTTAGGCAAATGTCTTAGAAGAAAGTGTTCTAAAATGTACAGGCCCAGAATTGAAGATTGGCTGCAGACAGCTAGCTGCCAAGGACTTGCTATCAACTTAAAAAGTATATATAGCCAAGGTGGACCTCCAAAGATTCCACAAAATTTGAAGCTATCACCTTATCTTCATGTTTACTATCACATTATGGTAAGTTTTCAGAAATGCAAAAAAAGTGATACTAGAAAAAGTCCTTAAGTCAAGGACCCTCCAACCTTGCAACATTGTGACTCCCTAAAGGATAAATGAATATGCAGGATTTCCCAGAGTTAGGACTGGACAAGATATCTATCTATCTATCTATCTATCTATCTATCTATCTATCTATCTATCTATCTATCTATCTATCTTAATAATTAAATTGTAATCTATGTATCTAATGAAACAATAAAATTTTGAATCTTTATCAAATAAAATATTTTCATTGGAAATAATAGAACAATCGAATTTTAAAACCATATTTTTAAATGGGAAGGATGAGCTTGCTTTGTCCTACAGCACTCATGAAATCTGGGCTTTCTGCTTTGGCTTGTGGGTACACATGCATCAAAACTACTGGCATTACAGAGCAACTTTCCCCAACCTGTTTGGATAACAGTGCCCATCATCCACACAGGCCTTTTTGAGGTAGACCATAAGGGAAAGCTGCTAAAGGTAACTTCTTTAACTTTCACTGTTAGCATTAAAAATCCTAGCTTT